TACGGGAAAACAATCAAACTCAAGCCTTTCCATGTTTATTTTTCCGAATTCATTTTACTCGTGTGATTCGCTTGTTGTGTGTTTACCTGTTGTATGATATCTACGTCATTCGATTACATAGTTATGATATTGTGAATAATTTTAGACTATAGACTCGAAGTATTGTTTTTTTTTTTGAAATAAAAACGCTCGTCTTTCAATCCTATTTTTAATTGTGTTCTAATTATTAAATTTTAAGAAATAAGATCCAAAATATTTACCCATAAAATATAAATATATTTGTATGGATTTAAACAAGACAACAATCCTATAATATGCGTATCTTTATGTTGATTACCATTTTAAGTACAAATCAATTTAAGGCTAGCTATAGACCAGTTGATATAAATACAATTTTTTTTATCAATACATTTTAATTTTAATATTTCAACTAATTATTAATGATAAATATTTGTTTCACAATTCCACATTGACTTTAGTCTTCAAAACAAAAATGTAAAAACCTCATTACACCTGGCAATAGCCATGACCTCGTTTTTTTTCAAAAATATATTGAAATGACAACAATATTTGTTCACCTATTAAAACAGTTTCTGTTTTATATAAAATGTATAACTGATTTCATATGTTAACAAAATAAATTATGGTACTTTCAGTTATCACCAACCAATACCAAACTACCAGTCCTTATGCCTTATGTGTATAAATATTTTATACAATATTATTATAATATTGCAACAATACTTTCTCTGATAAAAAAATAAACTCCAATTGAATACATCATTATTAGTGGTTATTGTACAGTTTTGGCATATTCATTAAAGCGGTTGAACAGTAATAATTTTGGAACTCAAATTCTGGACTATAAAATTATAGACAATATTATTTGTATAGACTACAGAATACAAACTGAATTTAAATCTAAGTTTACTGGATGAATGTTGAGATAAAAATATGTATTTTTCATCATTACTCAATGTAAATCTAAAATAAAAATAATGCTTATTATATTCTTTTGACTGGTACTGTGTCATATTACGTAGTATTAGGTAAGTACCTATCAGACAAAATAATATGGGCTAGCCGCTAGCATTGTTGCTTCCGCGTTTCGAGATTATCTTTATGGTTTCCAGTTAGCGAACATGAACCGAATAAAATATTAAAATCACGGTAAAGTTCCCCAAACACGTATGTACAATTATAGTCAATAATTATCAGCGATAAAAACTAGCTTACTAATTGTGACAAGTGTCGAGTGATGTCAACGATCATAGCATACCGTGCATTGTGCATATTGCTTAGTCGATCAATATTCAACACGTAATATTCATAATTTGGTGAATTTTTTATTTAAAATAGTTGTACAATTATTAATATTAGGTAGGTAATTTATTTGAATATAATGGAAAATTAAGAAATATGAATACATTCCGATATCTGATTTAAAATTTTGAATGTACGTAACTTACGCGTGAATTAAATTTGGGTTGATTCTAATATATTCAATAATAATAATTTTATTGTTTGGGGTTTTGAAAAACTGTATTATTTTCATACATTGTGTTCCTATTTTATGTAATACAATTGTATTGCATACGGATATTTAAAAAATTTAAGGTAGCTAGCTATCAAAGTGTTTTTATAAGAAATTCGAATGATTTTTATTAGAAAATGACAAGTGTCAAGTTTCAAGTTTCTCGGAAACAAATATTAATACAGACTAATGGATCATTTGTCTATGTTTTAGTGAAAAGCTTATTCTCCAAATCATATTTTTTATTTATATAATAAAAAGTAAAGGAGCTACACTATGTCGGATCTCGGATGGTAGACAGAGACTTTCGGGTGCAAAATATAGGAAGGTAAAACGTTAAAAAAAAGCTGGAAATTAAGAAACAGTCTGATTCTATCAAAAATATGTTGACGGGTTCTTCCTTCAAATTGATATCATTAGATATTTCAAATGCTGCAGTTATAGCACAACCCACTTTCCAATGATGTTTTTGACTCTTTCTCAGTTGTAGATGCCATTGTACCTTCTGAAACTGCAGTAGCCAAAAGTTTAACTGAAAACGTTGACGACAATTTACTGAAAGGGGCAGAAAAATACTTGACACCGGCCCTGCGTGTATGGTGTAAGTAACCATATTATTAAATTGAAAGGATTAAAAATAAGTGGAAACGAAATTTTTGACAGTAAAATCCATGAACCTTAAATAAATTGACTATAATTTGTTTGGAACTTAAACTAATGAACAAAATAAAAGTAAATGTATTATTTATCGGAATCACATAAAACTAGCCGTAAAACGTAGGTACCGTCTTATGTGTTTGTGTGAGTTTCTAATACTGATATATACTGCACTTTCGTCTTACCTATTCTTTTTCGAATTTAAAAATATGATGCTCATTAATACGTGAGTGCGTGTCTACTCAAGCAAATATTTTGAAAAAATCACGAGTCTTTAAACGGACATTATTTCGCACGACTAATTCTTTTCTCCGACAATGTAATTTTTTCTCATATCAACCAATCAGCTTAATCTCTGTTTTCCACCAACAATGAATTCATTCAAATTATTTTTAGATTAATTGATTAATCAAACATAACAAAAATCAACAGCGAGTGTCAATGTGTCATTATGGCTTCTTTTAACAAGTATTTTAATGTCACTCTACCTATATTAGCTCATATTCTTGTTGTATCCTCTGCAGTTGCGTATTTACGAGGGTGATATATCACCTCCAGAGCCTTTTTTATCTATAAAATAAAATATGTTTATGTAATACTATGAAAGTTAGTACAGTTTTAAGTAAAATCATAGAATATTATATGAGTGCACTTTATGGAAAGGTTATCTAACAAGAGGATCCAGGGGGATAGATATCCTTGGAGATATATCTATCTTCCTAGCTCCTAATGTGCAACATAGTTTTGGTAATATCGCTCTATTGAAAAATTCCTAGATACGCCACTCCCAGGGGCCAGGGTACTGCAGATTGTATTTAGGTATCTAGAAATTTGAACCTAACTAATATATTTTTTTTTATTTTAGTTATAGGCTCTAAATAGTTCAAACTATCTCCAAAACTGTCACAACTTTTTAATCGATCAACACTACTCAAATTATTAAGGAGAGCTCCTGTTCTATAATTAAATTGAATATATATGCACTTGAATAGTTAACTACTCATCTATAGAGCTCCAATGAAAAGTCATTCAATTAATAATTATATTTTAATGATTATCTTGTTAATAGTTTTGGTAATATTTTAACTGTTATCAATCTATATCTTTTGAATTTAATAATACAATCATAGATATTATATTATTATATTAAGTAGTTAGTATAAGGTCTATGAATTGAATACAATCTATTCTGTTTTGATAGCCAATAGATGCGAGGTGTCTGTCGTATACTTCGGGTAGAATTGTAGATTTAAAGTAGGTAGGTACCTATTTTCAATCTATTACGGCCAGTGTCCGGTTACCCTACAGGCAGAGTAAGTAGGTGATTGGAGTGGTAAAATTTTAGGGTCATCAAATTTGCTGCTCTTAAAAAAATATAAGTACATATACTCCCATATTAAATTATAGGTGTCAGCAATTAGGTTATTAACTCACTGAAATAGTCCCGGTAAACAAGGTCAACTCGAACTTTTGTTATTATAACGAAACTATGTTTTTTCCAGTAAACTTGGAAATAGTTTATTTGTATACAATTATAGGTATATATTATAATTTATATTTTATGGCGATAAGACGTTATTATCAATTATATTTTATTTTCGTGTTTCTATATTTCTATTGCTTTCAAAGAATGTTATAAATCGTATTGTAATATGGTTCTCAATTGAAAATAATAAAGATTAATATTTATTATTTAATATTTAATATTTAACTGTCAATCAATAATAAACTAGTATATTATTATCTATCTTAGTGCTGTCAATATATTTCTTTATCTATTTTGTTTGAAAAAAAAACTATTAAAAATAAAAGGGCGGCAAAATGTCCTGCTTTTAGCCGGGAAATTCTTTAATCCGTCACTGATTGCGGCAATTATTTTGCTTACACTTTACACCCTAGTTCATAGAAAAAATTAATTTTTTATATTGTTTTATGGAGAAATTACCCAGTCCCGCCAAAAAAATCAACGGTGAAAAGGCACGGAGGATGAGGTGACAGAAGTCCAAATACTGATATGTATTTTTTTTAATTGTTCTGTTTGAACTTGTGTTATAGCTTAGCTATTGACATTAGGCAATCAAACACTTTGCACTTGTTTTTGTTATAGAGAAAACGTGTCCATAATTTCAATTTCCATTGTTTTCAATTGCTATAAATACTACAAATAATAAAAAATAATAAATTTCAGACTGAAGTATTATACGTTTACATGAATAAAGGTACGATTAAAATCCCACTAAATTTGAATAGTTCCTACTTTCCAAGTCCTTCTCACCACTCAAAATATAATGTGCCAGTACAAAGCATTAAACATACTATCATTGGTTATAAAATATAAATACTAGTAGGTTTTATAATCAATAATACTATTAACCTTCTATGCCAGACTATAAAGCATAGACAGCTAAAATAGTTTATACCTAAAATATAAAGTTATTACCACTTTCTGATATAATGGTACAGTACTAATATAATTGTTTTTTTTGGTAGTTGCCGCGCAATTGGCGGCGGGTGGAGCACACTCGCAATTTTCACAGTCGCATCAGTGCAATAGCAATATAAATATTGTATACAAAATCGTATGGTACTTAATATGACGCGTCCTCTGTCCGAGATTCCGAGTGTCCGATGCCGCATCGCCAGAGCCCGCGGGTCGAGGTCACACACGCACTATCAGATAAATAATTGAAAACGACTTTGGCTACACTGCCGTAGTGAAGTAAAACGGGGAGGCCGGTCATACTGGTACCGGGACGTGACAGCCAATCACGGACAAAAACCGTTTCACGGCAACATGGTTCGCGGCGGCGTACGCGGGATCGTGAAAAAACGTTTTTAGCGGCTTTGCGCGGACCGTGTCATGTGCTCATTTATTACGGTTTACGGCCAGCGATACCATTCCATTGTCCCGTACACCCGTCCTCTGTTTTGTTTACGAAACGTAACATTTGAAATAACGTCCCGTCGTCGTCATCGTCCATAAATAGTATCTCATCGATTTTTGTCGTGTTTGGTTATGACCTGTCCCCCTCAGCTAAATTATCCATAGTTGCTGCAGTCTGTTTTCGTTTTTGTATTTGTTAACCGTTGTTGTGGTCCGTTTCCAGTCCGAAGAGAAAAATGTTGGGCCTTGGGAACGCCGTGTTGTACCGGTCGAAGAAGGACATCGATCGTCATGTGCGGGAACAGTTCGATAAACTCAGCAACGAACATGAGGTATGTAGTCTGATGGGTGTTGTTCACTTGGTCAAACCGTGTGAGACGTGAGTCTGATCGTTTACTTCACTGGACCTAGCAGTGCGCTAGCGATTTCCGGTTTTTGGCTGTCCAGCTAATATTTGATAATTTTTATTTTTGAATCGCCTACTTATTGTTCATGTTCAAATTAAAATCTCCCCAGATTCGAATGATTTTGTGACACGAACCAACGGGTTATAACGAATGTATGATACTAAAAATCTATATTATAATCTGATATATTAAAGAAGAAAACAAAACTCATTTTATTTCATAAGATAACTATGGACGAGTGGTTTAATTTTATATTTATTCCACTGTAATGTGTTCTCAGTATAAATTCCTAGTTATCATAAAATATTACCTGCAGTCCCACAATTTTATTCAAGCTTTTAACTACCTAGTATAATGCATTAATGCAAACCAACTGTTCAAAACAAAAAAAAATATTTCCAACCTAAGGGTTAGGCAGTCTTATAGCTCTCGTTTAGCTGATACTTCATTTAACTAGGTAAGGCCTATACTCAATAAACTTAAAATATATATTTCTATGGAAAAAGATATATTAGGTTTTATACCAAGACATCATTAAGTGTTTCATACTTTTTTTTTGTATGTACCTAGGTATTCAGATCATTTTTATTACTTATTAGAATTGTATCAATATAAGTATAGTTGTCTAACAATTAGTTTTAAAATAGATTTGGTATGTTTATTTTTTTGTAATTGACTCTTAAGTTTCAAATCTCATCTACTTGAATATAATTTTTCAATTAGCAATATTTTTCTTACCTTGACATACTAATATCCAAACTTAAAAAGTAACTTTAACTTTAAATTTTTTTTAATTTAAATATACTTATTTACTATGTTATCTGTATAATTTTATGTTGACAGATTAGTACATACAGTTTTTATGTAGATAGATGGTTAATTGTTCCAATTAATCTTTCAATTATTATTTAATTTCATTGATCATTTTTCAGTTATTATTAAATATGAGAATAATATTATAAATACAAGATAATCAATAAATTGAACTGAAATTGTAAATAATTTTCTATTTTTAGCACATAACATTTGTTCATTATTTGGGAACTTTGTTTTTAATTTTATCAATAATCAATTATTGTAAAAATTGATTTTTGATTATCTAATGAATAATTGAAAGACATGAAATTAATGATCGGTTAGTAATTAAAATTAATAATGAAGCAGTCCTAAATGAAGATTCCTAAATTGATGCTTCTGGGTTGAAAACTTGAAACACATGATTTCTCTGTTTGTCTGGAGTGTAGTCATTAAATTTATGATATTTATTAGTAATATAATCTAAATCTCAAATGAATTAATTTTTAAAATGTGACTAAAATTTTTTAATTTTTAATTTCAGAAAAAGCTTAAAGGATTAGCTATTGCTCGTATGTATTTCAAAGTATCTGAATTTGAGTTAGCTAAGCAATATGTTATCACCTTTTTGAGTGTGAATGAGAACTCCCCTGAAGGACGTCGTTTACTTGGTCACTGTTATGACAAACTTGGTAATAAAGAAAAAGCAGTTTTAGAGTATCAAAAATCTTTAACTTCCACACCTAACCAACCAGAACTACTATTATTATGTTAGTAAAATATTAAAATGTACATTTAATTTATATGTGTATATTATTTATTTATTTACTAATCAAACTAATTATTTTAGGTTGTGAGCTCATGGTCGATCCTTCTGTTAAGTTGAATGATGTTCAAGCTGAAAAAATATGTAAGCAAACAGAAGATTTATATCCTTATCATCCTACTGTTTATAAACTAAAAGATCGATTATTGGCATCAAATGGAAATTGTGATCCTTCTAAAGCAGAGAATTTGCTTAATGGTATGTATTATATATTTCATATAAAATTTAATTTTATGATTCTTAATATTATGTGTATTTTTCAGCTGAAATATCTGTTAGGCCAGAGGATATGAATCTTAGAATTAAACAATTGAAATTATTTGAAAGTTCTGGACGCTTGTCTGAAGCTTATTCGTGTGCAATGAATATAGAAAAAAATTTTAAGTTCCAAAAAGATAATGTTGAATGGTATGAGACTGTTTCTCAAATATGTGAAGTATGTATTTTTACATTTTAAATATTAATATAGATGTGCAAAATATTTATGTTTAAAAATTCATTAATAGGCATATGGTACATTAAATACTGTAAATTGGGAATTCTATTCACGGGTATTGCCTGTTTATGAACATACAGCATCTTTATTTATTAGTGAATCAAAAACAAGCAAGCAAAAAACTATATCGGAATGCTATAAAGTCCTTTTTAGGTATACATATTATATAGTTTGTTTTGTGTAGTTCTTTATTTTAAGTTTATATAAATACATTTTTATTTCAGACTTGATCAGGCTCTATATAAAGCCATACAAATATCATCTCCACAAACCGAGTTTTACCGAAGTCTTATTCAACATCTCTCCAATCAGTTTTATTTTCACTTAGCTAGTGTAATTATGAAATTGGCCAAAAAAGTAATATAATTTATAGTTCACTAATATTCAGATTTTATTTAACGTTCTTAAATTCTATTATTTTTTTACAGGAAAATTCAACTTGGAGTAAAACTAACCAATTGGCAGCACCATTATTTTTAATGTCCTTAGCACCTCCGATTGACAAACAAGCATTTGATAGTATAACAAATAAAGAATTTAGTATGGAACAAAAATCAAATGTTGCATTATGGGAGTTAGAAGGTACCAGAAGGATAATTGAGAGTGGTTTTGTGTTACGAGCTATGATGGCAAAAGAAGATGAACATTTTATTGATAATGTTAAACTATTGTGTATCAATGATTGGAAAACAACTAACTTTAAGGTATATTTTCAAACTTAAAATATTTACTTCAATATGGATTAGAGAATTTTAATATTTATATGTTTAAATAAAAAAAATTTGAACAGTGCACCTTTCATATATCAATAGCAACTTAATTTTTAAATTGTTTGAATCTGATAACTTATTAAGTACTATTCATCTTGTAATAGTTTATATATATATAGTTATAAGTTGGAAAAAGATAATAGCTACAATAATCAAAACACTAGGCTACTACCAGTTATTATGAGTATTTGTTCTTGACTCTATTGTTCTAGCTAGTGAGAGAACTCTACTCCTTCGCTCATCTTATTAAATGAGCTCCGCTTTTTCATGCTCAAATTTCTTCCTCTCTTTTACATACTCGCTGCTGTAATTCCCCCATTCATGCCGACGACTGGTATAAAAGTTGGAATGAACAAGTTTTGGTCGTTGCCCAGAAACGTTCTCTCACCGGCCAGAGTATAACTGTATACCTACGATAAGAAAAACTGATTCTTAGGACTCATAGGACTAACAATTTCTACTGTACATAATGTATATCAAAAAATATCTTCATTTTAAAATTGTTTTCTATTATAGAAAATATTTAACGATCCAGAATATGCTAAAGGAGTACCGACATCACTTTTTATTCACTATTCTCCAGAAAAATTAGTCTACAATATTCCAGAACTAATACAGTATGCTGTACCTAAACATAGTAAGTACATACTTGATTTGTAAACAAATAATATTTTTAATTTAATAACATATTTTTTATTTAAAGTGTTGTCATTTGAGATGAGTCGTCCTGGTTCATTACATCATTTAGTTTGGTATGGAATACAACTATTAGAAAGTGAAAACAAAGGATGTGGATTAAGGTTAACTAAAAACACACTGTTTCCAGTTGGGTTTGGATGTAAAAGTTTTAATGAATTACCTTTGGCTACTAATTCACTTGCATCTGCCAATATTGAGTCAATATGCCAAATAGACATGAATACATTTTTATACGCTACAGGTATTAAGAATTAACAATTTAATTGAAATTTAGGTTGTATTTCTTTAATAATAAGTCATAACTAATTGATGTAATATGAGTATAAAATTATATTTAATGTTAAATAATTTAGGTATAATCAACTAGGGATACAAATAAATGGTCTTTAATAGAACTTAACAAAAATGGTCTAGAAATTACTAGACAAAATAGTATAAACTGAAATTTTTCTTAGGTTGTTACTTCAAACGAAACAAACCTTAGTAATTTTATCCATACACTACAAAATATAAATGTACAAATTAAAAATAAGCAACCAACAATAATCATACATATCTTTTTCAAAGTATGAAGTTTCTAGAGTTCAATTTGTATTAAGTTCTATAACAGGTATTCAAACTGTGCGTCATGGCTCCCAGGGGCGTCGCGGAAGTTGTTGAAGGGAGCCGTGTAGTATAATCGAAAACTAAAAAATATTTTTATGAAAAACGTTTACTATTATCATTGATTCACACAGGTTGGGAAACATTGAATTGTCTACAAAAATCATTCGCTAAATATAGATTTAATTTTTTTTATATACGTAATATGGTAAACAAATTATAATATATAAATCACATTCATATAAACATTGATTTTTTTGTCATTTATAATTTGGAAGCCCTCAACATTTTTTGAAGACTTAAAGGAGCCGTGGGATGAAAAAGTTTGAATACCTCTGTTTTATAACATAAATCCATCCAGTTTTTTTTATGTTTTTATGTTATAGTTAAAAATAGTTGAATAATGTAAGTTAGTTACTAGTTATTTTTCTGTTTTTATATTGTTTTAGTTTTGAGTGTTGCTTCATTCCTGGATAACCAATCACAAAGCAGTGATCCCAAAGCACCACAAACATTTCCATCTAATATAACGGATCAATTGACAACATCGGAACAAGAGAATTGGTAAATCACATTTCATTAACTTTTCTCTTAACACGATAAAATTTGTAATTCTCAAATTGTTTATATTTGTGATCGCCTGGTCTACCACAGTTCATCATAACTACCATGTATGACTGCCGGCAATCGTAAATAATTATGGTATTATTTTGTTAATTTTTCATAGAATAATGCACTAAAATATAAGTAAATAAAGGCATAATTAAGAATCAATAGAATTTTTTATGGTGTAATAATTTTTTTTAAATGTTTTTTCAAATACCATAGTATAAATAAATATTGTGTGACCGCCGATGATCACATAGCAGTCAATGTCTTTAAACTTTACAGTTCTTGTCGTTTAACAAGAATCGGAAAATTTATATATACATACATATGTAATATTTTTTTAGGTGGAAATCAATGTACAAAATTTATTCCAAAAATGTTGATGTTAAACATGTATCACAATTAAGAAAAGCTGCTATTCAAGGATTAGAGTCTATTCGATTGATTGGGAATCATGGAATTGATGTTCAGTTAATGGTGTATTTGGCAAAAAACTTTGCTAGTCAGGTATTACATTTTATATGTGAAATTATGTAGTAATGTTTTTCAAAATCATTTATTACTAAAACTCGAATAAATTAATAATACATAGTAATGCATTTTAAATACATTTACTCACAATTTCACTTATTTAAATTTAATGGACCAATCATGGATCTCCATTGATTCATCAAATCTTAAGGGATTGCTCATTCAACCCCGCATTACAAAGTTACAAAAACTAATTGATTATTAATGTTCTTACTAGAGTTATTTTTGTATAGTCAATGATGACTTTTATTTATACGATAAAAAAAAAAAAAAAAAAATGGTACTATTAAGCTATTTCGGTTTTTGTAAGTATATAAATATTAAATTAAAAATAATGTTGTTTTTGTAGGCTAACAAAATAGTGGATAACTTCCTGTTAAAAGAAGGACTTGAAAAAAGAGCTACGCTTTATTGGGGAATGGCTATACAGCTACTTGAACGCATTAATGAACGTGGAATTGAACATAAGTCAAAAAATACATTATTTGAATTTTACAGGTGACTTGTTATTTATTGTGTGTTTTTGTAGATCAGCATAATAATTGATTGATGTTTTGAAATTTAGAAAAAAATTGACTCCCGGAGAAGTATTTGAGTTATTGGAGGAAGGTAAATTTTATTTAGCTTGTCAGTTAATGAACAATGGACAAAATGAAGAAGCAATAGAAGCATTTAAAAACCTTAATTTACCATATGCATCTTTTTACCAAGCAATGGTTAGTATAAGTTTAATCTATTAAAATTGTGCAAATAAATGTTTTCAAATGAAAAATTAACGAATTCCTTCACTAAATTCAGAATTCAATACTCTTTTATTGAAAATGTATTATCAACATTGTTTTATGGACATAAAGTTCTTATTTGGTGATTTATAAGTTGATTAATCGAATATTATAATACTAATAGTTATTGAATAATATATCATGTGGTTTTGACATAAATTTGTGGATTGTATCGTATTAGTCATTATTATTAAATAAATAATTATAATATACTATTATATATTATAATAATTAATGAATATATTTTATTCATAAATTATCATTTATTAGATATTCAAATATAAATTTCTTAAAAGTATGCCGCATAGGCAGATGAACTTTTTTTTAAATTGAGTGTCCATGATCTATCATTGATTTTAAATTTAGCGTATGCATTACAATGATCTACTCAATGACAAGTGTCATATACTATGTTCTATGCTCCAAGTTATTTAAGGCTTTTGTTACATGATACAGATTCCGATTTATGCAATGGTCTTACAAAATAGTTCTGATTATGTTTTTTTTTTTGAGGTTCAGTGTGTATATAAAAATAAAAGAACACACCGGACCAAAAAAAAAACAGTATTCCTTTTTCAGGGTCTGCTTTAATACTTTTCACTAAACAATCTAAACTCTATATCATTGTTTTTTTTTTTAATTTTAAATAAATAATTTTGTTGACATTTTTACACAAATAAAAAATGTTAGCTATGTATTTTATATATTTTGCAACTACTGCATGTATTTTAATTTATTGTACTTTAAAACTTGTATTTTATTGTTTATGAAATTCTATTTGTTTTAACTTTTACTATTTGGACTAAATTTGTTTGGTTGATTTGTTTGTCATTTGGATTCAACAAACTTAATTATTTGATAATAATGTGTTACAGATTTATAAAAAAATGATAAAATCACCTTCTGACACTTCTGCTGATAATACATTATCTAATGAAAATTCTATGTTGGTGGCGAAAGTTAAGGAGTTACTAAATATTACGAAAGATCGCTTAAAGAAATTACCCTATCATCCATTGCACTCAACATTAAAAGAAGAGTTCCTAGATTTAAAATTAGATATTGATATGAATGGGACACTTCATAGTCGTGAGTATTATTTTTAAAATTATTTATTTGATTTTTAAAACTTATCTGTAGACGAGTCAAACCATTTTTCTCGAAGATTCAATATTATTTATAGTAAGCCTGATCTTAAAAAAATATTTATACCATTGTTATTAATTGTAATAATATATATATTAGTAGTGTTCATATTTTCAAAAAAGGTATGGTTTAAGGGGATGTGGTAGAAAGATAATTTTTATATTTAAATATGTTTTCAATTGTTATGGTTTCAACAAAGTAAACTTTTTTTTGTTTTTCCTATTTGGTCCTTTTTTAAAAATATATTTTTGATAATTTAACATGTTTCTATGCATAGTATATTTTAGGTATATATTATTATTCTCAGAAATTATAAAACCACTAATCCATGGAGGATTGATAAAATAACTAACATTATTATGCCGGAATGGTAGTTTTGTCAAAATTATTGTTATAACAGTTTTATTTACTGCTTAGGGAAAGGGAAAATTATCTGCATATTCTTATAGCACATTCAAATACTTAAGTTCAACAATAAATGTCAATCTGTTAGCACAATGTTCTATAGAAATTTTATAAAAGTGGAAGAGAATTTGGTGAAAATGTGTTCATGACTGAAGGAAATATTACACTCTGTGAGTTAGCATCCAATGTCAGTCTTGGCGAAAAAAACTACTTGGCCACTTTTTTAAGGATTAATTCTGCTATGTATAAGATTGATTGATTACAAATTCACTAGGAAGATTTTTGTAACATTATAAATTTTAATTCAGCTATCCAATGCTTATAGATTTTACTACATAAACTTTCTGATAATGAATATTAGATTAAAACTATTTTGTTTATACTTGAAAATTTAACATTTACTATTTAGTAACAAAAATATCATAGCAACAAGAATAAGTGTGCACATGAAAATGTAATTACATTATTAATCTGTAATATTATAATCTCTATTGCTCTAATAATTTCACAAATTAAAAATAAACTAGCCAAATTACCCGTCGTTGCCGGGTTACGGTAAAAAAAATCAAATAGTTGAATAATAATTGTGTATGTATAAATAAATATAAAGGATTTATCATGTATATATCGTTAGAATAGTATGCAATTAATAATAAACATAAAATGGAAAATAATTAAAATTTTTAAGCTTTAATTACAATTATAGATACTATAAATAGGTATATCTAAGATATATTTTTATTTTATTAATGGGAAAACTATACATACTTCACCCAAAACAAAAGAAATGTATAAACACTATAAACAAATGAATTTCAACGAATTTGTGTATTATTATTATGGAATTTCTTTATTAACTATATTCATTGTATCTTTTTTGTTGTTTGGTATTATTTGTATTTTTAACTTTTCGAAAGATCTAACTCTGGACATGGCAACACAAAATTGACAATGGTCCATGACTAAACACAGGTTGGGGTAAATATAAACCTACTTTATCCAATGTTTTACCCTGTGCAAAAGCTATTCGAAAATTGACGTCTGGTAAATGAAAAGGGAAGAGTAGAAACTGTCGGGGTTGAATCAATTCTAGGTTATAAAATACGCTGACCAGTCAAGAGACTAGTTATAGATTCCAAGTCTAAAGAATGATTGTACATATTTCGTACTATAAATTTTGTGCCATTCATTAGATTGGAGATTACATTTAAATTTTTCAAGGGTATTACAATAGCACCTTTCTTTAGTACCAAACTGTATTGTAGGCAAACCACTTAAATGTAAACTATCTAAAAATTCTGCAGGAAACAAAAAATCGTCACATTCTTTTGACACTACTTAAACTTAAACACCTTTTTTCTGGCCCTGGCAACATAGTGACAATTGCATTAATCATATCAACACAATGTTCATTTTTAGGTGTAAGAATAGCAAATTGTGAAAAAATAGACACATTTTCTAAACTAAAAATAATATTTTCAAAAACGTCTTTTAATATATCACTTGATAATAGCGATAGTTTTATTTCAATTGAATATTTGTCCGAATAAGGATTTATTAGTGGGTATTTGCAATTTACAATATGTAACAAAAACTTGTAAGTGGCTCGGCTTGGCGCGTTGTCTGCTGTCAGTCGCGGAATGCGACTGGGAGTAAGTAACGGCCACAGCTACTAATTCCCGGATGGGTGCCCACCCGGGTTCATAGTAGTTAAAAAAACCTTGCCACACATACACGTGTTTGCTATCTACTGTAACAATCGTAAAAAAAAAAACAAAAACCAACCAACCAACCTTACCCCCTACAACAGCTAATGGACCTAGTCGCCGGGCTTAAGTTCAATAAAAAAAAAAAAACTTGTAAAATTCAATTTCATTTTGGTGTACTCGCCTATTTCTAAATAGTTTAAGAATTTTAAAATTCGGCCAAATCGGAGAATTGTATACAGTTTTGTATTGTAAGCTGTCTAGATTCATGTGAGACAACTGGTAAAACTTATCGTTAACTTTCACTTCTAATAACTATTTAAATAATTATTTTTTTGGATTTTTTTTTTCTTTTGATGGCTCCGAGTACTTGCGTTAGAAAAAATAAGATGTATAACTGTCATATGAAACACAAATAAACGATAGGTACAAAAAAACAGACGAAAACACAATATTAGAGCACTGCTCTGTAGTTGTATTATGTGTGCGAGATAATTTTTATCGATAAACTTTTCGGAACAATTCATATCTACACGTCGATATAAAAAGGCCAGGTTACAGGTAGCTATGGAAACCTAGGGCCGCCATCTATATATAGGTATATATAATACAACAAACTTAATACTTCTAATTACTATTAAAATAATTAACTTTTTGGACTTTTCTCTTTTGATGGCTCATCTACACACCGAGTACTTTCGTTTAAAAAAAAATTGTGAAAATCGGCCCGGTAGAACTTTAGATATAACCGTCACAAGAAATCGCATCACGTTTTAATAATATATAAAGATTATTTATTTATTAATTATTAGTAATCTAGAAAATAATTATATTTTTGTTGGTATAATAATTTATGTAAATTCTACAATATTGTTAGATACACATCATACTTTTTATTGAAAGTAATTTTATTACTAGTATGAGGAAAGTTTAGCCCATCTAATTCTTATTTTTATTATTTTTCAAGAATCAAATTTGAACTTATCTGGAGAGGATTATAATGATAATATGAATGCATCAAGAAGACACTTGTATAATAAATTTGGAGAACGATCCTTTCTTAATGTAACTAGTACTCCTGTTAAATCACCGCTCACTCCAGTAAGCATACTTTAATCATATCATTTTAAAAAACATTTAAGTATAATGAAAATAAAATATTCAAGCAATCTTTCAATTTCTAATTTTAGGTCCGAAGAACTTTAGATGATGAAACTGATGTCAAATTATTGAGTGAATTAAAAGTTGCTGTACAATCACAGAATGTACAGTGTCAAACTTTGGGATTGCAGTATTATAATATGATAGAAACATTAAGGTCGATGTCTGAAAAAGTTGATAAATTATTTGATCATTTCAACAACACAAAAGATTCAATTTTCGATAAGATAAATGAATTATCTCATCTTGTTTCTACAAATAATTCTACTGCTACTACTAGTGATAAGCCTGAAATGAACAGTAATCTAATTGAACGAATTGACAAACTAGAAGGAGTATTGATGGAAAAACTTAATGCTATGAATGAAATAAAAACCAGACATGATGATTTGTATGCCGTATATGCAGAAAATGGAGAGGAATTCGATAAAATTAATTATGATCAATCATCATGTATTCAAAATGCATTCGATGATCAAACCCAAATGACCACATTAAGTTTTCCAACAACTCAATTGCCATTTTCATCTTCTTTACCATTTCAGCAGTTTGGGTTATTTAATCCCACTAGTCAATCAAATCAATTCCCATCATATTCAATGGCTCCTAACCCAAATGTAAATATAACATCGTCTGATACTTTACCAACTGGACCTCCAGTGTCCCAGCCTCCTCTTAGTGTAATTATACCAACACACCATATTCTTGGTGGTAGTTTAATTACATCTGAAGCTCCATCCTATCCTTTCAAATTTAATAGTCAACTGGTTAATAATCAATCTCAGTCAGTCATATCTCACGGGTTACCTAGTATTCAGCCAATAACATCTGTTGATGTACAGAATACTGATAAATTTTCATTTCAATCTCCTTTATCAACATTTAAAGAAAGTTATGACACTTCATTAAATAAGTCTAAAAACTCTGCTACTGATGATAGTTATAATGAAGAACATGATCCGATTCCTGAATTTCAACCAATCATACCATTGCCTGATAAAATCGAGGAAGTTACTGGTGAAGAAAATGACACAATATTATTTGAAAAACGTGCTAAATTATATAAGTATATTGAAAAGGAATGGAAAGAAAAGGGTATTGGTATTTTGAAAATATTGAAAAACCGTGATACAAACAAAGTAAGATTGGTAATGAGAAGAGAGCAAGTACATAAGGTTTGTGCTAATCACTTCTTATATGACAATATGGAATTGAAATCTAAAAGTGATAAAGCAGTTGTTTGGTCAGCTAATGATTTTTCTGATGCTGTTCAAGTACAAATTGAAAATTTATGTGCAAGATTTAAAACAGTAGAAGATTGTAAAGAGTTTATGAGAGTTTTTAATGAAAACAAACAACCCTGTTCTCAAAATTCTTCATTAGTTGATAATAGTAAAGATGATTATAATGAATCAGTTTTTGAAGTGAATAATGATTCAAGTTTGAAATTATCTTTGGAAAATGAAAAATCCCTTAAACATGAATTAGGTGGTTTCACTTTTAGTTCACCACCCATTATAAATGATATTACTACACCCAAACAACACAATAAAACACCAGATAAAGCGAAAGGGTTATTCTCTAATTTGAGCTTTTCAACACCTATCGGGGATACAGCAACACCAAGTCTAAAATCAATATTAAAACCTATGAACTCAGAAACTAAAACAGGTACTAATGATAAACAATCTTTTTCATTTAATACATCGAAGTCGGGAATATTTTCTACAGAGACTACTCCTAAACCTACAGAAAAATCTGAAATATTTTCTTCAGAGACTACTCCTAAGTCTACAGAAAAATCACTATTTTCATTCAATAATGTTGAAGAAAAATCTGCAATGTTTACTCCTAAACTAGATTTTACATCTGGGACATCTGCAACATCGTACTTTAGTACATTAGCAAAAAATTCACCCAACCTTGGTTTCACCAACTCTCCCGATTTTAAAGGTTTCCCAGGTGCTGGTAGCACTATTTTTGGTAGTAAAGTTAAAACTAATCCTTCCCCTCATGCCATTATTAAGTCCGAAGATGCCAACATCAGTTCTTCAAGCCAACCAAATGATGAATCAGAAGAATTTGTTCCAACAGCAGAATTTTCTCCAGTCATTCCTTTGCCTGAGAAGGTAGACTTAGTGACTGGTGAGGAAGGACTTAAAATTATATTTGATGATCGAGCCAAACTTCTCAGGTATGATTCAAGTACTAAAGAATGGAAAGAGAAGGGAATCGGACAAATGAAAATTTTACATAACCCTAAAGATGATTATTATCAGTTGTTAATGAGAAGAGAAATAGTATTAAAAATTTGCTGTAACCAAAGGTTGACTGCTGATTTAGTATTGAACCCCGTGCCTTCATCAGATAAAGCTATGTCGTGGGTTGGTAAAGATTTTTCCGAAGGTGAAGGTAAAAAAGAAGTGTTTGCTATTAAATTCAAAACTGTTGGACAACTTCATGCATTCAAAGAGAAATTTAATGAAATTCGGAGCAAACTTCAAGAATTGAAAGAAGTTTCCAGCAGCACAGAAGCTAAAGTAGTTGAAAAACAATCTGATATTAAACTAGAAGTCAGTAAACCATTACCCAAATTAAATGATCTATCTCAATTTAAACCCAAACCTGGCTCCTGGACTTGTGATGCATGTTATTTGTCAAATATAAATACTGTCAAGTGTATTGCATGCTTAACAGTAAAACCAGGAGCAGTTGTTGATGACGAAACTACTAAAAGCCAATCAACTACTGGTTTCACTTTTGGACAAACATCATTTTCATCATCATTAAAATTTGGAGATGCTTTGAGTAATTCTCAGCCGGGTATTCCATTTGTTATGCCAACATTTGGAACACCATCAGCAGTGTCTTTTAGTTCATTGAGCACAAGTGAACACACAAACACATTTGGTATTCCAATTAAAACTGCCGTCCACCAGAAAAAACCGTTAACATGGAGAGAAGAAAGTGCTGGATTAGTAAAATATGATTCTGATAAAAGTGCCGATGAAAGTAATGAAGGAACTGATGAAACTGACAACGAAAGTGATGGAAATGATGGACAAAAATCTGTGTTTGAAAATGAAAAAACACAATTCAGTTCAAATGGTTAGTAAATAAACAAAAAAATCAAATTTTAAGATAGTATAAAATGTAAATCTTCAATTGATAATTATTTATGCTTATAGTTAAAATTGAAAAGTCTTCATTTAAAATTGACAATTCTTCAACCGCCTTAAAACCATCTGAAAATCAAGGTAAGTTTTTTATGGTTAAATTCAAATAATTGTGGTTTTGGAAAAACATCACATATGTAATTAAGTGATCCGAATGAAGTGGAGAGAAGCAGAAATCTGGTGGGTGGTCGATGTGCCAAGAGAATGCCAGTAAGATAAGATTTGTAGATAGTTTAAGATTGTTATGAGGTATGTAATGTTTGTTAAATATTAATTGGTTAACAAGAAAATGGAACAGTATGGTGGTAACTAACTTCTATCTCGCAGGTAATGTGAGTTTTTTCCTTGTCTTGAGTGCATTGAGTTATCTATCCAGTTAAAGACTAGTGTGAAGAGACAGTAAATTAATGATTTAGTGAGCAAAAATAAATAATATAATTTTACTTTTAATGATTTTAGGATGGTGTGCCAGGTGGCAAACTTATAGCTAGTATAGTGTGGGGACTTCTCTCTCGTTTTGTGTGGTAATACAAGAATATTAAACTAATAAATTTATGTTAATTACACAAAATACAATGACTGTAAAATGTCAGTACTATCGTGTCTTATGAAGAGTTGGTTAACGAAAAAAGTCAATGTTAGAACTGTATGGTATTGAATTAGATGCTATTTTTGTATCAGTTAATGTCACGATCCATGAATGAAAGAAAGTTCTTTGCCTCATTGGTTGTGTAAGGTAGGTGAAAGACACAAATTTCATTCTTCTTGTGGTGGCGATAAGGAAAACCAAGCTTTATCAGTATGCTTGAAATGTTTCAGTCACCTACTATGACTGTTGCGGACCGCGCCTAAAAGTTACACGTTGGTTGGGGATTAAGTGAGGGAGCTTGAGATGGTATAGATATGTTATGAGGAAAGAAGATTCAGTGGTGTGTGTGTGTTGTCATTGAAATTAATGCAAAAATAGTGAGATGGATGGAATAGTGACATGACCCTAAATAATTGGGAGTATAGGTATAAAGCGAAAAAAAAGTATAAATTAAAGTATTGTTTAAATTGTTGCAGTTAAAATAGAAAAACCTTCATCTTCTATTGATAATTCAGCTTTAAAGTCATCTGACAATCAAGGTATGTATTCTAAGAATATTACCATTTTTAGTATTTAACTTAATTTAATAGCTTCAATATATTTTCTGTATATATTGTGTGTCTACGAATTCAGAGTGCATAAAAAAGGAAGTTTTTTCTTAAGAGTCAGACAATTCTAGGTCAGGAATTAAGCATCCAATAGTTCAGTCTCAAGTCCCTCAAACAAACAGAAATCATTGTATGCATAGGATACTGAGTAATTTAAGTTACTGAGTTATTATTATGTGTACTCTGTTATTATGGACAAACAGTATAATTTAAAGTAATATTAATTCTATAGTTGAACTTCGATAATTATGGGTAATGGTGAGGAGGGAGTCACACTAAAAAATAAAAACCGCGGGTATTTGAAACTATGTATATACCTCTGATATACTTAGTCACATTATTATCATCTTAAATGTCATTAATATGTATGCCAATAACGTATATCTAATATAAAATGTTGGTCTAGATCTAGTTAAACTATTTATCATATGTACGGTCCACCTATTATTTATTTTATTATTATTACATATTTTTAAATTTCGGAAGAGTAAGTACAGATATTCAAGTTTATACTATATTTGGTAATATTTTAAATCTTGCATTCATTTAAAACAGCCATATCAGAAGACTAAAAAAGAAATTCAATTAATTCTGAATCAGGTACTGATATAGGCAAGATTTTATTAATTAATTTGTATATAATTGTACACAGTTCTTTTTGAAGATTCTCTATATTGTTCAGTTACACGCACTTTATTAACCAGTTATTACTTATTGCCAACATCACACTTAATGGTATTTACTGATTTTGAGGGGATTTATTTAAAACAATAATATTGCTTTAGGAATTTTTATTGAAGTAAATTAGGGTCATACCTTTTATACACGATGACAGCTGAATATTTTGAATCAAATAATTACTTAAATACATTTTTTTTAAATTGCTTGTTATTAGGGCTACAACAAATTATTATCTGTTTAGTATATACCATTTTTACTATTAATATATTTCTAATTACAGTTATAATTTATACATCTTCACTAAATACTGTTTAGAACCAGTTAAAATTTTATGAGCTTAATAAGTAACTGCTTTTTGAATAATAAGTTTTATTTTACAGAGTCTGTGAAAATTCTTGATGTTAAATCACTTAAAGATGTGGTATCTCATACTGATCAAGAACTTGCTGAAGAATTAAAACTTCCATTGGCATTCTTTCTTTATAAGTCAAAACCTAAATGTAAAGGATGTGTTGGCTGTGAAGAAGATTCAGAAAATGTAAGGTTTAACCCAAAATAAAGTTTTCCATTGATTATATTATATATTTTTTAGAAGGAAGACGTAGATGATGAAATTGTTTCTTCGAAGACTGATAGTGAAAAAGTAACTTGATTTTATCAATTTGTGACAGCATATTTTTAACTTTTCTACATTTTTATATTTCAATAAAATTTGTTTTCTAAATTAGTAAGATAAAAAATAATTGGTTATGGTCCAGTTAGCGACCTACAAATCAATTTTCAATTAGAACTATATTGTTAAACATAATATTTGCATTTGGTTATGTTTGGTGGTAGGATCTCTAACCTTCCTTATATTTTTTTTCTAGCAGATGATGAATGTCACTAACCCTTTCAGTGCTAGATTATTATTTAAATTGTTGCCTAGTTGAATTGGATTTTTTCACATTTTTACTATGAGAATTTGAACCCTGAACACCTGAAATTTGTCATTCAGGGAATATAGGTTTATCCCGTGTATATTTATCAAATTTCTATAATTTTTTTTAATATTTTGGAATTTTATAAGGTAGAGTGCACTAAAATGTTAATATTTATAGTGTTGTTCTGTAGCATAACACCTAACAAAGCATATATATATATACATACATTGCCTATAGCCTGTGAGGGCTGCTATGTCCGGTCGTGTGTATATATTGTGGGCAAAGTAATTTTGGGCATGTACTGCTTCCGTTGCATTCTGTTTTGCCACTTTTTTTTTTCCGTTTGAACCGACAGCAGAGGAGGATCAGTGTGAACACTACTACTCCTCTGCAACTGTTTTGCCACTTGTACTTCCTAACATTCCATTTATGTATACATGTTCATGTTGTAACCCTGATCACCCATTTTGGAAAATTTCTGCTGTCTCTCTTAGTGAAATTTTAGTATGCTTCACATCATTGACTTTCAGAAATCTTTGTTTTCAAATTACAAATATTTAATATTTTGTAAAATAATTATGTAACATATACACCCTTAGCTCTCAAAGGATTGAAAAAATTTTTAATATTTTATCCAAATCTAACACTTCAGTTCTCCATTGTTGTTTTCTGTATTTCGCGTGGGATCTGTTGTGGATGATAAGCTATTCTGAGAAGTTGACAATTTATTGAATGTATCCATGTCTATAATGTTGTTTTGTACAGCTTCTTCAATATAATTAGGGCAGAGGACTTACATCATTTTCATATTTGTTTTCTGCTATCACAACAATAGCAGGGTAAGAAATAAATATGTTTCATGCTGAAACAAAGCTAGTTTTGAAATTTTATTTTGAATTTAAATGCATATTTCGAGTTTTTTCTAGTTTTAGTGCATATTTTTACAGTCGACATTTTTAATTAATTTAAATATTTAAAATACAACCAAAAATTATGTTGAATTTAAAATTATTTAAAATTTTGATCATATTATGGTTGTTGACTGTTCCTACATGCATGTTTTCCTAGAGACACGTCTCAAGGATTGCCAATTTTTTTTTCCGGTTATTAATTTTACTTATGTACATGTACTGATATTATTCACTGCATATGATATTATCAATACAAGCCATGGGGACGTCAGTCACAGACATCACAATTTAAATAAAATATATTCATACAAATAATCATATTTTTTAATGCATTATAATATGCATAATAATTTTAAAATGCATATTTTGTACATTTTAGTGCATATTTGGTGATTTTTTAGAGTTACAAGTCCATTGCCCTAAATATGCATATTACATTTAAATATTTGTATATATAATTTTTATATTTAGTACCACATTTTACCATATAATTTGTAGGTTGTCTATTGGACTGTTATATGAACTTTATAAATATTGTGTGGTTTTAAATATTTATATTAATACAATATAATTTATTTTAGGAAATTGAAAGAGTTAAAGAACAAGATGAAGTACCTGTTAGTGTTTCAGAATCAAACATTACTCCGGTCACATTAACAAATAATATATCACAGTCTTTTCATACTACGTCATTTCTTTTTGGCGATAAATCTTCAACTAACATTTTTGAAAAAAATACACCTGTTGCTCCTGTTTTTGGATCTAAACCAGTTTTTGGCAGCTTCTCTTCAGATTCTACTAAAACAGACGATACAAAATCAACAAGCTTATTTGGTCTTTCCTCTAATGTTAATCCGTCATCAATATTTAGTTCATTTTGTGCTTCTGGATCAACAGAATCGCCAAATACTTCCCAAAGTTCATTATTTTCTAAGACTGATGATATAAAATCCAAAACAGAAGGCTTATTCAACTTCAGCCCTAAAACTGACAGTCCGTTCAAATTTGGAACAATTTCTAAGGATCCTAAATCAGTGTTTGGACAAGGTGTTTTCGGTGTTAAAGATAAAATTACTGTTGATGAAAGCGCTCCTAAAGGTATAAATAAACAAAAACTAATTACAAGTTGCTTATTTTAAATTATCAATAATAATTATTATTTTGTGCTATTCATAGCTAATCCTTGGTCAGGTACCTTCAATCTCAAAAAATCTACAGATGAGGAGAAAAATTGTGAAAAAGTTGAAGAAAATGGTGATGAAGAAGTTGATAATAGCCATGACCCTCATTTTGAACCTATCATACCTCTTCCTGATGCTATAGAAGTATCAACGGGAGAAGAGAATGAGAAAATATGTAAATAATAAATTTTATAAAAATGTAAGCACTACGAACCTACAATGATTTTTGTTTTACAGTATTTTGTGAACGTTCAAAATTATATCGCAAAGATGGCAGTGAATATAAAGAAAGAGGTATTGGTGAGATGAAAATATTGTTTGATCCCGAAAGGAACACATACCGTTTTCTATTTAGGAGAGAAAAGGTAAATTTAAAGATACAAGTACATAATATGTATTCAGCATTACTATAAAGTTATAATTGTTTTTCCTAGGTGTTCAAAGTTGTTTGCAACCATTTGATAACATCAGATTTACAGCTTGTGGCCATGATATCTTCAAACAAGGCTTTTTGCTGGCCTTGTATGAATATAACTGCAGACAACCCTGATCCACAAAAAGAGATGCTGGCCGTACGTTTCAAGAATGAAGAGATAGCTGGTAAATTTAAACAAGTGTTTGATGATTGTGTATCAAAGTTACATGCATAATCAAAGTCCTATTTTACGCTAATTGTTAGACTACCAAGCTTTTTTAATTTGTTATAGTGTACATTATCAATCTTTATATTATACAAAAGACGGTTTCTTTTTTTTTTAAATTAATTATTTGTATTTTTTTTTTTTGGCAATACTTTGCTGTCCATAAGGGTAAATATATTATATTCAATCAGTTAATAATGATTCAAACCAACCTTATTCTTTTTAAACTATTACTCTGATTTTTAATTTTAAGATATACAAATTATGTGTTATGTAATTATTTACTTATTGTTCATGGAAAGAGAAATAAATAACATCTGTTGGTTCATTTAAATAAATTGTGTTATGTTAATATTTATTTATGTGCTTAGTACATGCTATACTCCATGTTGTCATTTAATTTGGATTAGATTCATATTTGTTCAATTTTTTTATTAGCTTTCAACATATAGGTTATTACACCTCGACAATTACCATAACAAAAGCTCTTGAGTTAATAACCGATCACCACCTCCTAGACACCATCATCTTCACTGACTCTCTCAGCGCCATCAATAATATAACAAATACATATAACTCATCAGATATTAGCCTATAATCTATATATTCAAAAATAAAATCTACACTATAAAAAAACAATAACTACAAAATCCCTACACTATCATTGTTCAAACAAATAACTGCACTCAGTTTCATACAAATGCCAAATAAGATGGTACCAGAAATGTATATCCTACTCCACTAAACTGAATCACATTCAACATAACACCGACAATTGGCATTCACTCGAAATATCCAGATAATTTGAAGTTATACTATCAAGACTCAGAATCGGACATACTCAAATCTCTCGCGGTTTTTTAATGGCCAAAGAAGAACCTCCAATATGCACAGCCTGTGGTGTCCATTGTATCAATAAAAAAAGACAAATAACAAATTAGTATTCATTTGGAAACGATTTCGAAATAAGAAACTATCTTAAACTGGAGACTAGAGACATTAAAAACGTATTTAAAAGAAGTAAACCTTTTTTTTATGACGATTATCCATAGAGTAAGAATGTATAGGGATGATCTAATCGATTATTTATGATGAAAATTACTAGTCATCCAATGTTTTGGTAAAAAATTGTTTTTAATATTTCCAAAAAAATCAATGAGTTAAATTAATGAAAAAAAAAATAGTTAGGGGACACGTGCATCCGCTGGCAAATGCATTTGAAATAGCAACAAAAAAAGGAAAGATAATTATACAGTAGGAACAAACATTAGTGAGGAAAAAAAAACACTAGCAGTCTACAATCTCTAGATTCTTAAACCCAAAAACTTAATCACAATAATTAGTTCATGAAAGAATGATTATATTTTAGGAGGCACCTGCAGGTTTTCAAAATTTAAAAAATGCATGCAAAAAATCAACTAGTCAAATTAATAAGAAAAATTTTGAAGTGGGTCACTGACACCTGCAGCCTGATGCATTTCAAGAAGCAAAAATAAATTTCTCTTTAAATTATTCAGTAGGTATACATACACTGAAGACTGCAGTGTATAATTTCCACGTCTCTTTGTAGTTGCTGGCTTAAGTTTAAAAAACAAATATTGTTCCAATGGGCCTTTAGATATGGGGGGAAAAATGAAAATTGGGTTTGTTAAATGACGTACTTTTTGACTAATCGTCTAAATACTCTAAACGGTGGGGTTGGAAAAAAAATTACCAGTTATAAATGTCCGTGCATTAAATATTTATTTTAAGTCAAAAATTAAATTTAATCCTCAATATAATATCAAAACAAACTTACTCACAAACATCGACTCTTCCATTGAAACCTATATGTGCAATATTTAGAGTGCTTTGCCGTTGCAGAGAATAAACAGCCATCTTCATAATTCGTCTCTAAACTGAAACTTTATAGTATCGTGATAATTAATGAAAATAACCTGGATGGAACAACAACACAATATTAGTGAGTAATTGCATGATACATAGATCCTAATGTAGTGTTTAACGACTCGTCCGTCTATTGTTAAGTTGTTAAATTTTTTTGTTTAATTACATTTTTGGAATTGTTATCGTTATCGACAAATGGCGACGTTTGAGGTTGACCAATAGAATATAGATGATATACATATTATAATATTATAAATCCATAGACCCATAGGCGCAATCTCAGTTTTTGACTTGGAGGGCTATCCATGTATCTATACATCAAACAGACACCACCCAAGCACCAACATTACCTTAACAATACACAACAAGATATATTAAAAATATTTTAAATTTAATCACATTTCCCAAATATACACTTTTCCCGCTACTATATATGATTCATCTGAAAAATACATACTTATGAGTTATGACACATATAGGTATTTTGTATTATAGGTAGGTAATAAGATTATAATTAAAAAAACCTAGTAAGAGGGTGACGCTTTGCTGTACCTACAGTAAGTTACAGGTGTAACCCACTTGTAACCTATTCTAATAGATGGTGTTAAATTTGAATTCAATCACAAAATATCATTGTATAGGTACGAAAAACGATACCGAGCGGAGACGGTTTGTCGGCCTAGAGGCTAGAATATTTTATATGTTATATATTATATAATAAATATCGTATATATCGTTGTTTTTACTACTGTAGTTGGTAGGTTGAATTAGTATAATTTGAATATTATCATAATTGTATTTAATACTATACCTACAATAAAAGTTTAAGTACCCACGAGGCCACGAGTAATGTTTTTAAATTAAAACATAGTAATTTTACTATTCTTGGTTACCGTCTGTTGACTTTTCAATTTTGACATACTTCTTGATATTCCGAGCTTAAAAAAAATCGCACTGGGCTACAAAAAATACATAAATGTGTGTGTACATCTCATGAATAGGATAAGACCTTTCAATTAGTTTTTTGACCAAAATTGGACTTAAAAAAAATAAAAAGTACGTGTTACAAGTCGCCTCAAATTTTGGGTGACTTGTAACCACTATGAAAATTTAATGTGAAATTCAATTCAAACACGTTAGAGTTCACTTGTAACAAAATATTTATTTTTAAAGATTAACACAAGAACATGTTAAATAAATATTTTTAAAAAACAGGTGGACTTTACCTTTTTTAACCGTATACATACTTAATTTTAAAATAATATTAATAACATGATAAAAACAAAAAAAAAAAACTTTTTAAACAGAAAAAAATAACTTAATAACAATAATTGATACTTAATTGATATTATTAAGACTTTACTTTTTTTTAACAGTATATATACTAAGTCTTAAAATAATAACGTTTTAATTGTTTAGCATTTTTGATGTTACAAGTCACCCTAAATTTTTTTCTATAAAATTGGAAAAAAAATATTTTTAGACTTGAGACATTCTGCTTTGTAAATGTCCTTTAAGTATAAAAAATATATAAACCTTTACAATTGACTTCACTGATCAAGATCTGAAGCACTTTTGAGAGCAATGTTATATACGAAATGCTTGGTTATTTTTTTGGAGGTAATAATTAGACCAATCGCATGGTTAATAATATTTATTATTACAAAAATTGCGAATTTAGTTTTAATGGAGGAAGAATTAAGTTATAACATTTTCTCTCATAGATAACCTGGTAGATATGTTTAAAAAAAAACCTAATCAAATCGTTTCATTTCACATTTTCACCTCGCGGTTCCAAGTCACCTCAATTGACGGAATTTAATATATAATTTCGTCCAAATTTGAACTTAAAATAACTATACAAAAAAAATGTGTTTATATATTTTTTCGATTTTTTGTTGCAGAATGTACTACTTAAGTACCGCAGTGGCGTATTTAGGGGGGTGTCCTGGGGGCTAACCCCCTTCCCCCAATTTTTTTCTAGTTATATTACTGCAGTATCGCAAACTATTATTGATGAATGACGAAATATTTTAAAACTTCCTAATACAAGTATACAACTGCCTTGAAAATTGAATAATGTATACTTCATCTTATACCAGATCATAGGTACCCAACTATTAGTCATTAGCAAAATATTATTCGAACTTCCAATAAACTGTGAAGTACGTAATTCTTAGAATTGTATTATTGTTTCGTGATGTCCGGCTATATTATTGGCTATCGCCTTATTATATTTCTTCGAATACAACAATTATTATTGTCTACTATAGTCTATAGCAAAGGACAACAACGCAAAGTGTGATGTGTAAACGATACTGTGTAGTACTGTAGTGTGTACAGTACACTCGAAGTACGATTTTATTTTCCGCTGAACTGCTGCCGACTTACACGTAAGACGTAAGTACAACACGGTAGTTTATTTTTCTAGTTTTTAAGCCTTTAAGGACTCGTACGAAACTACGAACTAAATAGGTATTGAAAAAGAATTGTTATATTAGTTAATTTAATACAAAATTAAAGAATATTTAATAATTAATAATTGTGATTTTAAAACAGTGAAAGCGGCACAAAAGAAACTTCTATTTCGTATTTTATGAAAATAACTAACTGCCGTAGCCCGTAATCAACCCGGTTCTAAGCAGGACATGGAGGGCCATATTTTGTCGGAAAAATAATTTTTTGAAAATGTATTTTTTTTGAAACCGTATTTTTGATGAAAAATATTTTTATGTAAAATAGTATTTTATCAGAAATTAATTTTGTTGAATAAGTATTGTGTTCCGATCGCTTGCATTTAAGGAGGGGGCACTGGCTACAATTGCCTCGGGCTCAAGTATTTTGGGTGCGCAAACATTTTGAGGTCTGAAATTTGTTCCTTTGTGAATTATTAAGGACAGCTATAAAATTTTTGAAAAACAAAAAATGCTGTACATCATGATATGTCAGTAGTTCAGTACTGTTAAATTTAAGAACAATCATTTATGGGAATAATTCAATAATTGATTGGTCGATTAAACGATCAAAATCTTCAAAATATTTTGTTTGGACGTCTTTTTCCTAACCGATCATTATAAAGAATACATTTTATCTGAATATATTATTTACTGAAAAAAAAAACATAGAACAATCATTTTTCGGAAAGTTAAACAGTTCAGATTTAAAATTTTAAACTATATCATCATAAAAGTAAGTATTAAAGCATTACGAAATATTATTATTTGTATATTGTATGATCAAAAGTTTTCAACTTTAAAAAACTTTTAACTTTTTTTAAAACTTTTAAGTTGGTTTTCATTTTGATGGTTACAAATTATCAGTTACTTAAAACCGAAAGTGATTACAAAAAATGTAACCAAAACCACGAATACGACTTATACAATATAGTAAACCACTTTACTTAACCACGAAAACATGCCTCATTTGAAGTTAAAATTCGAACTCTTGATTACGATTATCAGCTATAAATGCTTATCACTGGGCCGAACTTACCACGTAATTACGTTTATTACAAACCTACTTTAAAAATCAAAAGTATTTCATATACATTTTTAAAGTATTTGAAATACTATACATAATACATATAGATTATTTGAGTAGCATCTTAAATACTTTTTAAAAGTATTCTTTACAGCACTGGTAAGCGCTGGTAATAAAGTACCTAATTCAGAGGCTAAAGAGGCCCTAGCGTTGTAGCATAATAAGTTTTAATAAGTAATACTTAGACAATTCTCATGACATATACATTTGGGCTGTGTCAATCATGTGTGACTGTCTTGTCTGTCTTAACTATCTTAGTCCACGGTTCGAACTAATCAATTTGTAGTATTATTAAATCGTTGCAGATGATTATAGCAAGTAGCAACCCCAGAATAGGTGATTTGCGTTATCAATGTTTATGTTTACACGTGCTCAAGTCGCTCATGGTTATCACGGTTTAGATAACAAAACCGTGGACGGCCTGGCCCCGGCATGCTTGTCGTGTTCAAGCATCTCAAACCTCAACGCGCCGTTTTTTTTTCAATTTTAGCGCTGCCACTTCAGATATTTCGACTTTCGGTATAGATACCAATCATTAACTACACTAATACAAATTACGAATCACTACTTGTAATAATTTGCGTTCCAAATTAATTGAATAGCATAAGTTGAACGTTATTTTTCTGTTAACTCTGTGGTATTCAGTTCAGTGGTGGAAATCAACTAGTACAAAGCATGAGTTTGGTGTCACTGAACGAGGCGGAAAAGGTGTACATTATTCACGGAGTTGAGGTAAGTCTGTGATGGTTTAAAGATTTGTTTGTGCTTTGTAAATGTCTGTCTTAGATCCAGAGGTACTAGGAATTTAAATAGTCCTCTTTTAAGGCTAAATTCGACGAGATTGGCTTTAATTGCCGGTTTAGGTAAACTGGAACAATGGCGATTGTTTTAGGAAAATTTCAGATGCGATGGACGCAGTAGACAAGATTACAGACCGTTGGAATTAGAAATGGACATTGTGAGTAATGCTAATGGGTCAGCTCGCTTGCGATTAGCCAATTCTGATATTTTAGTGTGCGTAAAAGTCGAAATTGACACTCCACTTCCAGAAGCACCTAAGGATGGCAAAGTAGAATATTTTGTCGATTGGTAATTATTCCAATATTGGGAAATGTTAGCCAAACAGTGTGCTTATTGTTATGCTTTGTTTTGTGCAGTTCAGCCAATGCAACTCCAGCATTTGAAGGACGTGGCGGTGAACACTTAGCAGCTGAACTCAGTCGTTTTCTTTCCTTAGCTCATGGCCCAGTATTTAACTTGAGCAAATTATGTATTGTTCCTGGACAATCATGCTGGAAATTGTTTGTCGATGTTCTGATCTTAGAATGCGGAGGTACCTTAGCTCCATACAAATTTAACTATTTTATTTTAATTTAATGAAAACAGGACATCATTTTGCCAGTTACTATTTAATTTGTCAATAGTAGGAAATGTTAGATTTAATTTCATGGTTATTTGGTTTTACAATATATTATTTAATGCTATAGAGTGAAAAAGCAATAACATTCTATGAACATCAACAGGACCAATATAACAGTCAATAATATAATATTTTAATATCTTACATCTTACAATTCATAGTAAAAACTATTAACAGAAGGTTTAGAATTACATTTAAAATAAGATACATTTTTGCAAATTTCTGTTGTGTTTAAAATATAATTATAATTTTACCTATTTTAATCCATATTGTTATAATTTATAATTTAAAACCAATGGTAGACACTAGACATTTGATTAAAACGTTAGTATTTTCAATAAATTGTTATTACTAATTAAAAATGCTTTGTCATCCAAAAGTGTAGGACTTAATAATTATAATAATTTATAAAGAAAATTGTAGAAATGTAAATGGTTTGAATCATGTAAGGAACTTTTCTAATGTATGTATATTACCGTATTATGTAAAAATCAAATTTTGAATGAGTAGTTAATTAGTTATAATTTTTATATTTTAAATTAGTTTTAACTAATTAACTGCTTGTCTGCTTGTTTATATATTTGTTCATACATTGTATATAATATACAACTGTACATTTTTTAATCATAGAATATTTATTTTAAAGGAAACTTATTTGATGCCGTATCATTGGCAGCTAAAGCAGCGTTATGTAACACAAGTCTACCAAATATTGTGGGGACATATGAGGATGGCCAAAATATTGATCTTCAAATATCTGATGATCCATTTGATACAAAAGCACTAGACGCGAGTGACTTACCTGTCTTGGTGTCCATGTGCAAGATTGGCAACAGTTACGTAGCTGATCCTACTATAGAGGAGGAAATATGTGGTGCAGGATGTATTGTTGTATCAGTCACGCCCAAAGGAAATGTAACGGCCGTATTGAAAAAAGGAGCTGGAAGCTTTATGCCGGATACGTTAAATGAGATTATTATGGTAATACCAATAGTTTATTTTAAACTTATAAAACCAAAACTATAATACATAAATATTATATTATAATTATTTTTAGTCTGGTTCACACATTGGTATTCTGTTGAACAAAGCGCTCAATGAAACTCTTATTCAAGACATGTCCAGTAATGTTTGTAAGCAACAATATGGTTTCCTTAAATGAATAAAAATTAAAGTGTATACTTTTTTTTAATGTAAATAATATTTAATATAAACATTATACATTTATACATTTTATAATACTGATGACAATAAAAATTAAAAAAGAAAAGTAAAACTGTAAATGTTATAAAAATGTCATGTCTTTAAAACCAAAAGAAAAACATGATAGTAAATGTAAAGCTGGCAAAAAATTAAATGGTTTTCAGAGAAAATATTCAAGGCCAATCACTTAAAACCGTTAAAAATCAATAATTGACAAGTAGATAATAAAATTAAAAAACCCATTTCATTATTCCCAAACGTCTTCTGATTTTTCTTCTTTGGCACTTACAAACAACTTTTGGATGGTAAACGTGATATGCTCTGAAAAGTTATGGAAATATTAAAATGATGAATAAGTTTAGTCAAAAGTGTTTATAGTTAGTACGAATTTCAAGACTTACTTAATGAAGTTTGGAACCACACAGGTTTAGTTTTCCAGACGACACATATATAGTACACTGGAATGCCTAACAAGGTGATACCTACTCCCATACCAACTTCAAAAGGTCTTACGTAACACGGCAACACAATTAAGAATATTGATACTATTACATACGTGATTGGAATCCAAAGGGAAACCTAGAATTTTTAACACAAATAATGTATAATATAGATTGTAATGTGAGTATCTTTTATTTCCATCATCATACCTTGATTGGTCTGTTAATGTTTGGACGCTTCCATCGGTTCCACAATACTGATGACACCGATAGCATTGTGAAGAAGGCCTCTACAATACTCGAATATGTTATAAGCATCGCAACATCGCTTGTGAAAAGCATGAGTAAAGATAATATGTTCTGCAACAGTAATAGGTTATAGTCAGGTGTTCACCAGTAATAGTATTTAAAATGCTTATCTTACCAAAAACACTAGAGATGGGGTTGGTGTGTACCTTTCCACATTGATGTATGACAAAAATGTTGGGAAGTGACCATATCGTGCTCCGACAAAGCACATTCTGAAAAACAATGAAATATACAATTTAAGCAACAAATTTACATTATCAGCAAATTACTATATGTGTACTAAACGTGACAGGTATTTTTATTTTTTTAAATTATGTTTTCTTCAAATGAAACAACTTTTTTGATCAGTAAATAACAATAGGTATACGTAAACCCATTAGTTATGTTAGTGGTTAGTTATTGTTATGATAAATTTAACTTGTTAGTTATGGGAGAAAACAAACTTTGAAGTTCTATAATCTCAACTCGTTAATGTCTAGTCGTAGACAACACATTGTAATCATTACTTAAACCTACCTGGATGAAGTCATAATGTGAACGCACAGACCGCCAAATGCTGATAGAGCAACCATCAGCGGCATGATCCATTCGAACGACCCCATTGCCAAGTGACCAAATGTCTAAATAAAAACATAATATTATTGTAGTTTTGTATTATACCGTATTTCATAAATGGTAAATGATTAGGAAAAAAAAGTTTACACATAGTTTGATGAAGTATTAAAAATACATTTTACACTAAACACACATTTTAATGGTTGTGAACTTATTCAAATATATCATCTGCATATAAAATTTCAAAAACAGGCTAACTTAATGAAAATCTTGACCCATAAATACCAACTATTTCAGCTATATAGTTATTTATTTTAATCATTCATATTTTAAATGTGTAGATCCTCATAACTTTTCAAAACACATACTAGGTGTAGCTTTAACAAAATTTAGTATTTTACTATTTTTAAATGTGACAATATTGAAAGATTAATTGCAGGATTTTGGGAGTAAATGGAACCAACTTAACTTTAATTTATTTCATGTTATGCAAGATAATGTGATATAATTGATGCTGAATAAATTGAAAATCCAGATTTATCAGAAGATATGTACACGTATAAAGCTATGGCCTGATGTTTGAATTGTTTTATATGCTGTATTAATGTTCCATTTTTACTTAAATTGTTGAGCCAAATTTTTATAAAGGCTAAATAAAAAAAAAAATCCATTTAAGTATAGGAAACACTTAAAAACTTATAATGATTTGTTTATAAGTTATAGGTATATTCTAACTTTGTTCTGCACCCTAGTAGGGCGTGAAAAAAGTTTTTTTTCATTAACATACGATTCATCAAAAACAGGTTAAGAAATCGTTGATCCATTGAAAACTTAGATTTATGTATGTTGATGCACCTTAACAAAGACACTTTAATTTAATTATTTTCTCAAAATTATAAAAATATACCTATCTTAAATTACGCCAAAAAACGAAAAATGATCGAAGTACCTAAGTGTCATAATATTGAGCGTCTTTGTACCCGTGTGATATTAAAATCATTATGCACTAAGTTGTAGAGTTGATTGGAAAATATAATACTTATTGGTTATTAATAGAGCAAGGACTTTTATGCACTAAAAAATCATCAAATATGCGTTTAAAAACATGCACTTATGCATCAAAAAATTAAAAATTAATTTTATTATTATTCACTATAAGTAAATTGGTTTGAATTTTTTTTGAATGTCGGATCCCATTCTCCTTAATTATTATCCGTTGAAAATACAGATTCACCAAACTCGATTACAAAACTACACAAATAATAAGCTTTTGTTGAATTTTTCTTTTGGCGTATTACTCACGAACGTTATATACAAATTAAACTCGCGGAACTTACACACACGTGGCAAATCTACTAGAACTAATCTAATCCACCCACTGACCATAGATAGTTACTTGATACAGTTGATACTATGAAATGTATCTCTATCGTCTTTATAAGTTTATAACAAATTGTTGATCTTGATCCGTGGAAAATATTCACCAAAGTGCTCGATTTTCGATAAACCATAAAAATATGCACTAAAAGCTTAAAATATGCTCTTTCAATCAAAATTATGCCCCTTAAGCCAAAAAATGTCCAAATATGCACTAAAAACTTATAGCTTTTGGTCACAAACGTTGTGAAAGGTATTGTGTACTTACTCTGCATACGTTTAACTAAACCAGAAAAAACATGCAAATGCATGAAAGTCCTTGCTCAAGTTATTAACTATTATGAATGAAAAATTAAATTATATTATTGTGATATCACTCACGACGGCGATCGCTTTGGTCGTCTCCATGTCGTGTGGTGTCAGAACGGCCAAGTACGCAACGTTGGCCAACACGTAGATAATGGTCACCAACGGCATGGAAATGTAAATGGCCCTCGGCAGGTTCCTGTGAAGACAAAATCGATATATTAATGTTATGTAAGGTAATTCCTCGTCAGTGGCCCAGCCAGCTGTCATAGTAAGTCACGGGTGTCGAGGACAGAAATAAGAGGACGATCGAGGTATGATGTCATACTCACACGTAAGGGTTTTTTAGTTCTTCGGTCATAAAATTCAAATAGTTCCTGAAAATTAAAAAAAAAATAACGATTAACGATGCGTCGATTACGCCATATTGGTCCACGTGGAAATAGTAAAAATCCTCACCATCCCGAGTACGAGTATATTCCGGAATAAACGGACACGGCCAGCCTGCCGGGGTCCGTGACCGATCCTTGCCAAGGGTTCGTGAACTTGGAATATCCGTCTGTGCATAAATCGCGGAACAAAGCATCGTTATAATAATTGTCGTTCATGTACATTTTATATTATATACATAATATAACACAATATGCAGTGGCCTATACCTGCGGCCTATACGGGTGGTGGGATTAAAATCACCAATAGATAAGTTTTCACTATACAAAAACGTGAAAATGTATTTATAACACATTCTATACGTCTATATGTTGTATATATTTTTATATATCTGCCCTCCCCCCATATTTGAAGTGTCTGCGTTTGTTACCGAACATAACATAGGTACATGTGCGTTTCCGAGTTCAAGTGTCGGGGGGGGGGGGGGGGTTACACTTTTCTTACAAAGCATGATGAAAATCGAACGCATTCATGTTCAGTTCACAGAAAATGAACGCGTTCCCCCCCAACACCGTTTTCAACCGTTTTAGACTTGCCTCTATATTTGAAGCGAAAAAATAGTTTTGACTATACCGAGTCCGAGATGATATTATAGTCAACGGACAATGTGCGAAACTACAATTAGTATTAGGCACATCTTGTGTAAATATCATGCAAGTCAAAGAGCTAATATCGGTTATTTCTATAATATATCCATTGTAAATATTCAAGTATAGTAATTATATCAGATATGCAAATAAATTTTGAACAGTAGGATGCAGACGGAGTAGATGAGTGCGTGTGTACGTACTACACAGTGGGCGAGTATGTATATATTATAGTGCACGAGGACGGACGCGGCGAGACGCCTACCTACGCACAATCAACATTGATTTGTCGCACACGCGAAACGATTCTACTTAAGGTGCTATACCATAGCAGCCGTGACGAGTGCGACCGACGTGGGTCTTACTGCACGTAAATGGAAATACCGGGTGTGTTATAATATTATTCGAGATAATCCAATAAATATATACAACGCTTGTGTGTACTTTTTTAATTCTTGTAGCATGCGTACATACAGTGCATTACAAATCGCAGTTGACTATCATCACCATCATCATCAGACTCGTGAACGGTTGAGCTCTTTAGAACGTACCTATATTTTTTATTATTTATATTATTGGCTTTTGAGCCAGGCGTATGTGCGAAATAAATGTATAATTAATATATTAATTTAGACCATTTGCGACGGTGCGACGGTGTTAGATTTCGGTTTGTGACGAAAAGACATACGCTAACTACAGTTTTATCGTTTCAATGTGATGATAAAATGGGGCAAACGGCGGAAAAACATATAAATATGTTTAGAGTTCCTCTGTTGTTCAACTCCCGATACCTACGCCGCCCACGCAAACTCCGTCTTTGTTGTAAATAAATAGTCAAACGTAGTTTTGTATTTCATGGGACAGTACCTACTGTTTTCGTTTTTAACCTATTCAAACATCAATCATTTCTCAAATGAAATTCTTAAAATTCAGATATAAAAAACAAATCAACAGTTAAAACACGAACCCAGGTTTTAAAAATTATACGGCGAAAACAAAAATAATGAAGTTATT